GGCTCTCCCGACAGCACCTCCTTGAAGTAGGGACTGGAGGCTGCCAGCACGTTCTTGTGGGCCTGGAACTTGGTGTCTTCAGCAATGATGGTCACGTCGCAGAACTGGCCCCGCAGGCGCTGCTCATTCAGCTCCACCAGGAGGGAGCGGGAGTGACCCACATCCGAGAGCTCCACGACTGGCGCCATCCCGGTGCCACAGAACTGGAGAGGGAAGAAACAAGCATTAGGGGTGTGGAAACTAGTGGCTAGATCTTGTGGGCCTGGAACTTGGTGTCTTCAGCAATGATGGTCACGTCGCAGAACTGGCCCCGCAGGCGCTGCTCATTCAGCTCCACCAGGAGGGAGCGGGAGTGACCCACATCCGAGAGCTCCACGACTGGCGCCATCCCGGTGCCACAGAACTGGAGAGGGAAGAAACAAGCATTAGGGGTGTGGAAACTAGTGGCTAGAGTGGGAGAGGAGAGGTTGGGTGCCAGCACTCCTGGATTCTCTCCCTGGCTCTGGGAGGACAGGGGAGCTAGTGATTAGCACCACGGGGTGCCTGCCCCCTTTACAGCCCTGAGTGGTGGTGCTGCAAGCTCTCAAAAAAACACACCCAACCCCCCCCAATGTCCTCTCCCCATGGAGGGGTGTTGTTTCCATGGCCCATGTAGCCCCATGACAGGACTGCAACACAAGGCTCGGGGCTTGGGATTGGTATGCGGGGGGAGGGGAGGGGAGGGGGCGCACATTTGTCGAGATGGATTTGGCATCAGTGAGGCTGGGACATGGGTCAAGCTGGGTCCCAACTCGGCATCCGTCAGGCTGGGCTGGGAATGCAGGTCGGCCTTGGTCTGGCCAGGGGGACTGTGGGGTCGGACAGGGTTGGCGTCATTCGGGCTAGGCTGCAGGCCAGACTTGGCATTGGTGGGTCCACGCCAGAGAAGTTCTGGGGCTTTGCCTATCAGATTGGGGGCAGCCCCCAACCTCTCCCTCCAGGCTTCCTCCCACTCTCCAGACGGGAACCATTTTGCATAGGGATTCCCAGCTGGCAGCTAAAATGGCTGAGGGAAGCGGAGGCCGCTGCCAGCTGCGATTAGCAGCGAGGAGCTGGCCCGGCCCCACCACTTCTGCCCCCAGGCACCCAACCAGCCCTCAGAGCCACCTGTTCTGGGCCTGACACCAGCAGTGCCCAGCCCCAGCTCCCAGACAGAGGGGCAGGCGGGGACATTGCTCAGACAGGCCAGGGTCAGGGAAGGGGCAGGACAGGCCCTATCAGGCAGCTAGTCAAACCTGTCTGTCTTGTCCTGAGCTGCCCCCATACCCACATTCCCCGTCCTCTCACTCCTTCCCATGGATCCCAGATCCACCCTTAGCCAGTACCTGGATCCTCCTGTCCCACATTCCTCAAAGAATAGAGTCCCCAAAAGTAGGGGTGAGAATTGAAGAGGGATAGGAGTTCAGCTGGGTCCCCTGTTCTAGAAGGGACAGGCCTTTGCCCCATTTCCCACCCCCCTGAGCCAGACAGTGCCTACCCTAGGGCCAGGTGGGAGCCAGTATCCTGTACAAGTGACAGGCCGCTGTCCCATTGCCTGCCTCCCTGAGCCAACCAATCCCTACCCTGGGGCCAGATAGGAGCTGGCATCCCCTACAGGGGTTCCATTGGCACAGAGGCTATGGGGCTGGGGAGCAGAAATTCATCACTTTCCCACACCTCTCCCAGGCAAAACAGGGAGAGCAGGTTACCGTGAAGACCTGAGCAACAGTGCCTAGAACAAACTAGTAATATTTCTAGAGCTAACCAGCCTTGCCACAGAGACCTGGGCAGAAGGGCCTAGCAGGGGGTGGGGTTCTAGATTCAGCCAACACTGTCACAGAGCCCGAAGCAGGAGGGCCTAGAAGGAGCAGGTTCTAGACCCAGGTAGCATTGCCACAGATACCCAAGAAGGAGAGCTTAGCAGGGGGCGGAGTTCTAGCTCCAGGTGGCATTGCCAAGGAGACCCAAGGAAGAGGACCTAGAAGGGGACAGAGTTCTAGATCCAGCCAACATTGCCATGGAGACCCAAGGAGGAGGGCCTAGCAGAGGGCAGGGTTCTAGATCCAGCTGGCGTTGCCAGGGACACCTGGGCAGAGGGGCCTAGCAAGGGTTAGTTGCCCCTTTACCTGTGGGAGGTGGCCTCATCGACTATGTGTTGCTGCCTCACAGCCCCTCGGCTCTGCTTGTCCCTGGACAGGATCCTCTGTGGAGAGACGCCAAAGGTTAGGCGCTGAGATTCAAGGCAGGCGCGGGGGCTGGGATCTCAGACTCCTGGGTTCTCTCCCCAGCTCTGGGAGAGGAGGTGGGGGGACAGCTGAAGTGCTGGGCTTGATAACCTCTTAGCCAAACCAGTTAGGATCCCCTGTCAGAGGCTCCAAGATCTACCAGTAGATCCTGACCTACTGGTTGGTGACCACTGGTGTAAGGAGTTACTCAGAACAAAGAAGAATGTATCTTATCCATTCACGATGTGTGGCACCAGGACTCCTGGGCTCTATCCACAGCTTCAGGAGGGGAGTGGCATCAAGTGGCCAGAGCCAGGGGGCTGGGCATCATGACTCCTGGATTCTATTCCTGACTCATTTTGTGGCCATGGGTGAGGCCCATCGTCTTCCCCCCCTGCCTCAGTTTCCCTTCTGTCTAATCCAGGGAATGCAGCATCACTGGTCATACAATGGAGCAGAGAGCGGGAGGGCATTGTATATCCATGTCATGCTTGTCCCAGAATGTTCTAGGCATATTCTGGGTCCAGTGCCCAACAGGATAGTTCTCTTTGCAAGTTTCTCACACTAGCCTATTAAAGACCAAGCTCCCAGAGTCACTGGATTAAAGTTTTCATATATGGGAGAGAAGAGGCTAGAAAATGGGTCCCAGCTACAGGCCCAGAACCCAGAAAATAAATACAATGAAGACTATGTTAAAATCCCGCAATTATTAAGCTAATGGTGTGTGGGGGGGGAACGGGAGTTAGACACTTGAGGTTTAGGGCGATGGTAGAGCAACATCAGAATTTCTGGGATAAGAGAGGCCTGGATTCAAAACCACATCTCTACTCAAACCTCTGCATTTACCACACCCAGCTGCCTTTCTCCACTAGGGACGTAAGGGTACGTCTACATTACCACCCTAGTTCGAACTAGGGTGGTTAATGTAGTCATACGAAGTTGCAAATGAAGCCCGGGATTTAAATATCCCGGGCTTCATTTGCATCTTGCTGGGCGGCGCCATTTTTAAATCCCCGGTAGTTCGGACTCCGTGCCCACGGCTACACGCAGCACGGAGTAGGTAGTTCGAATTAGGCTTTCTAATTCAAACTACCATTACTCCTTGTGGAACGAGGTGTAACATTAGTTCGAATTAGAAAGCCTAATTTGAACTACCTACTCTGTGCCGCGTGTAGCCGCGGGCACGGAGTCCGCACTAC